AATAATAATAATAATAATAATAATAATAATAATAATAATAATAATAATAATAATAATAATAATAATAATAATAATAATAATAATAATAATAATAATAATAATAATAATAATAATAATAATAATAATAATAATAATAATAATAATAATAATAATAATAATAATAATAATAATAATAATAATAATAATAATAATAATAATAATAATAATAATAATAATAATAATAATAATAATAATAACAATAAATAATACTTTTAGTTGAAGTTTGCAAAATGTTAAGCATTTTTAGAACCAATTTTTCTTTTTCTTGTTAGTTTCTGTCCATTATTTCAACGAAATTTATTGATGCATTTAATGGAAATCAACAAATTGTAATTTTAAATGCGCAGAAGTTTCATTAATTTTAATAGTTTATGGATATATTCATTCATATTTTTTGATGAATTATTTTTTATTGACAAATAACTTTTTTGCAGAATGCAAAGAATTACTTTGTTATTCGTGTAATTCAGAATTTGGTTCATGTGATGGAAAGAGTTGTAGTACTACTTCAGATAGTTTTTGCGCTTATCGTATGCTTTTTTCCTTTCTTTTTTGATCTTTAATCTTTGACATAACTTTTCGAGAAAAGCAAATAATGATTGTGAATTGAATTTTAATTTTAATAAATCGATAATACATTTTAATTATAAATATATATTTTTTTAAGAACAAATAATTAATGATAATGGTAATATTATGCGAACAATACGATCATGTTTGGATGAGAATGTTGTCACAATTGGATCACTTCAAATTGGACAATGTATTGAAACGTAACAATCTTCTTCATTATAAATTCTTATCATTAAAGGATAATATTATATGATGCAAATATTTCATCGTTTGCATTTGGTTTCATTGCGGTGCATAAATGAGAAAGCGCAATAGTCGCAATTAAAGTTTGGATAAAATTGTTAGCAAATTATTTTGTATTATTTTAAGCTTACATTTATTTAACTTTATATTTGCATACTAACCTTCTCGTTCTTTTTTAAAATTTTTTCTTTTTTTTTTGATAATAATAACAACATTTTTAAGCAATTATTGAACTTTTTTTTTGAAATTATAGAAATAAAAAAAAGATTGAAAGTAGTTTTTTTTTTAAGGAAAAGAATTAAAAAATTTTTTAGACATATTTAAACATTTATACTTTATTTCGGAGTATTTTAGGATTGATCCAAATACTAATATGAAATATCGAACATATTTTTGCAACAATTATAATTATTGCAATGTCGACTGTCAACCACAATTGTCAACGATTACAGTTGTTCCAGTTTTACGTTAGAAATTCGCTTGCTTTAGATAATCTAATCTTTTGGCTTAATCATCAACTGAAGATGACATAATGATGAAACAAAGTGTCAAAAGTTGTTAGGATAAGTAAGCATTGTTTGTTATTAATGAAACATGTTTACGTAAAGTGACAGGGACATACGAAATTAATTAATATTTAATTATTACAGTTTGAAAATTTTAGCAACTCGTGTGAACATGTTGGAATGCTTTCAATGTAATGGTTTTGGAAGAGATTGTTATAGCAATACATGTACCATTAATAATGGTGGATATTGCTTATTTCGTTAGTTTTTAAAATTAAATTTTAGCTTCAAATTTAATTGGAATTTAATTAATAGTAAAATGTATTCGATTTACAACAAAATATTCCTCAGTTCTCTTATAATTTATACTGTTATTCGATAACTAATTCATCATTCACATGGTAATTGTTTATATTGAAATGTTTGCTTAATTAAGTGAGGACAAATTGAAATTACAGAAAGTTTCGAATTAATTAATTGATAGTTAAAAGTAATAAATTAACCAATGATCATATAAGATTTTTCTATATTTTGTATGATTACAGAAATGCTAAATGTCACAATGAATGGAGTACGTAATTTGCATTACAGTAAGCAATGCATTGATGTCCCTTTTGCTAGAACACCAGATGGCAATAGTGTCACTGAAATTAACAAATGTGTCATCAGGTAAATGTCATTTATTAAAATTTCTTAGCAATATAATTATTGTAATAGAATCATTGATTTATTTAAAAAAAAAAAAGAAAGTATGTAAAAGATATTGGAAATGTTTTCGGAAAGAATTATTCAAAAATTATAATTAATAAAAAAAAAATATTACAGTAAAATTTGCTAGGGTTAAAGTTCAATATTGAATTTGCGTCTAATAATATTAGCTAATTTTAAGCACCGATATCTATGGAAATCAATTCTACACATTGATCTGTAACGAAGCTAAATTATGTAATGCTAATTGTAATTGGATTCCATCCGTTTCACCAGTACCTGTTGTACCTCGTTCCTCTTCTTCCAGATATTCCAATGAAGCTATGGTTTTCTACTACATCTTGACAATTTTTGTAAATTTCATAGTTAATTATATTAATTAATTACATTAATTAATTATAATTAATTGTATTTGATAATATTATTTTGTTGAAAAATGTTGAAATCACAAATCATTTGGTTTGATATAAAAAATTGACGAAAAAAAAAAGAAGCGCAATTTAATTGTCTTGAATTATATGACAAACCTGATGACATAATTTGCATCATAACAGCACTTACATAAATTAATGATACCAATAATTAGAAGGATATTCATTAAAAAAATGAATGCAATACTTGAATATAAAATGATATAGACAGCTGTCTAGTGAATATCTATTGTAAAATCAAGTGACATTACCTATCACAAGGTCAAGTAAATAAACTTAAAAACCTTACCAATATACCTTTTCATGATCAGTTTCTATAAGCGTATTGTTTCAAAATACTAAAATAGCTGCATAAAAACTTCAATAACAAATAAACAATAAATAATTTGCATATTAATTGCGGTCCATTACTTCAGCAGAGTGAATATCATTTCTGAGATTGTATTTGAAGTAATTGGCAAGTTTCAAATTAGCTTGGAAAGCATGAAATTGAAATGTATGAAATTAGAAACTTTTCGCCAATCATATGAGCGAGTTAAATGAAATGAATGTGAACTATTTTTGAGTATACTGTAGTTAGAAGGAAATGAGAATGAAATCATTGGTTGTATGAATATGGAATTTCATCAATTTCAACCTCAATTCAATCCTCATAAGTTCAATTGGTATAATTTGCAAAATGTTAAAATAATTCATGGGAAAGTGGTAAATGTTTGAAATTATACATATTAGAAAGAATGGTGCAACTATTTGAATAAAAAATTTCAAAAAAAAAAGTTTCCACAGTTATTGATCATAAGCTAGTTAAGTCAAGTTAACTATTGATCAATAAGTTGGTTAAGTTAAGTTAACTATTGATCGATAAGTTGGTTAAGTTAAGTTAACTATTGATCGATAAGTTGGTTAAGTTAAGTTAACTATCGATCGATAAGTTAAGTGTGTGTTGTTAAGTTTAACTGAAAGAAGTTTTAAAAGTTTCAATTAATTTCGATGAAAAATTTGATGGGAAACAAGCGAACTGAATTACAAATAATTTTGAGTTTGTAAATAATTTTAAGAGTAAGAGGATAGTTTCAACGAAAGTAAATATTTAGAATTTAAAATATTTCAGTTATTTAAAATATTTCAGTTACTTAAATATTTCAATTACTTGAAATATTTGTGGAATTTAGAGGTGACAATTATGACAGGTATCTGTCGCATTACTTTACTGCTTTCATTAAAATGTGTCCTAATTTACGAGTTTAAGGATTGCAAGACAAGAAGAATCAAATTTTGTTCTAATTATTTGTTGAAGAGTACAAAACATATCTTTACCATTTATCACTCTTCATATTAAATGATAAGGGCAAAAAAAGAAAAAAAAAAGTAGTGACAACTATAAATGTATCAGTCTCATTCTCATCCCTCGTAGCTTATCAAATGATAACGGCGTAATGTGGTGGATCATGGAGGAAATGTTCATGATGGTCATAGAAAATATTCATGATGATACTGATGCCATGGACCATCCCAATCATCGTTCTACAAGCCAGAAGCTGTCATCGGTACTATCAACAGAGCTAGCAATAATGTTGTGACAAGTCGTCGTAATACCATTTGCTTCTAAAAAAGTTTTGAAAATTTGGAGGTTTTCATAATTGCTATTTTTCTACTTTAATGAAAAGTGCAGTGAGAAGTATACATAAAAACTGATAAAATATTAGGGAATACTATCCTATTTCAGCTTAATGGANAAGGGGTGAAATTAATGAGAATGTCGCGGTGAAAGAACTTATCTA